GATGAACAAAACGGTACTCAACAAAATGACAGCAAGACTGTCAAGTAGTCCTCACATCGAAACCTGTAGTAGCAGAACACCACAATGGTAAATTCTACACTGTGATTCTGAACCACAGTTCAAAGACTGCGGACATGGTAGACATTGCCTCCCTTTGAGAATAGATATGGTGCATCTGAGGTAGCACGGTCAAGTAAAACACGTAATGAACACCTCCAACTCCCACTACGGGAACAGGGGTACACGCGAACTCTGAACAGTGTCATCGGATTGACCTGGGGTTCATGGGATGATGACAGTGGTAGGATTCTAGACACACAGCACATTAAACCTAAACGCATAAAACGCTTAAGCAGCTGTGCGAAACATCTTCATCGAAACGTCTTTATATACATAAGCTATATGTAGTACAAGTGAACAATTTGCACAGCGTATCTAACTCAAAAAAGACAAATAATTCGAAGAGTGATCTTCAGTAATAATCAGGCAGATGATGTCAAGAAAATAATGGTCTAGCACCGTTTTTTGGGAGTCACACCTTGTGCCAATGATCACACATGACAGTAGACTGTCAGATAGTGTTTGGCCAAATATAATCACAACGGTCCTTTGCATTGCACAGCATTGTCGTGCATCTGGCAAATTTGGTATGACCACACCATAACGGGAACAACCTTAACACACGTTTTTCAGCTGAATTCTGTGAAGTAAAATTAGATCAGTTTTGATTTGAAGAAATTCCCGGTTAAGGTAAAGCTTGTAGCCTCTCTGAATATCCAGTGCTTTTTGTCACTGTGCCACCACGCTTCCAGGCTACGCATTATAACTATTACAGTAAGCAGGTTAACTAAAGCAGCTACATAATCATGATACATAAAGCCGCGACTTGCGTAAATAATCCCCTAGGCGCTAGAAGTAAGGCGGCGATGCAATAGTGCTGTGGTGCAAAGTGAGAAATAAGTGAGAGTATGTATACTTATGAATACTACAGTTTGTCTATGATTGGATTTTTCAAGCCTTAGATTACAGACTTTGCTTCTCCAGATTGAGAAGTCACAGCTGCGATGGCTT